AAGAAGACGCCCTGATTGTCCACCCGCACAAGAACATGTTTGTGCGTGATCTTGCTGGAGTATGTTTGGAGTGCCCAAAGCACACCTTCGATCTCCCTCCGTGTGCTGGACGTCGCTCGCAGCGGCTCTGGCATTGTTGCGCTAGCTTCTTCGAGGCCGCCAGGAAATGTGGTCAAAGTGGCGCCCCAACTGTGAGCGCTAGCATCCACATGGATGACAGCGTCGTAGCTGTTTCGAACGTGAAACGGTGCACCGTTGAACCTGTCAAACTCTTCGAGCCAGAAGTTTAGCTCCTCAGCCGCGTTTGGGGGGATGATCACGCTGCTTTTCCATGAAGGTGCGTCATTGATCACTTGTAGCATGGCGTGGCTGAAAGCACGAGCTGTTGCGCCCAGCGCGACGCCCATTGACGCGAGCATGCCTGTGATTCTGGCCACTTGGCGGACTGAGACGGGTCGACATGCCTTGCTTGCGCTCAACAGGTTCCGAATGGTTGCATGTAGTGAGGCTCGTCGTTCGGGACCGATGGTAAATCGGCCTGTGGCCGTGTCTAGCTCCACACCCAAGAATCGAAGGTGTTGCGATGGTGACAGCTGTGATTTCTTCGCATTTATCACCAAACCTGCTGCTTTAAGGTCCAGTATTACACGGTGGCAAGTAGCCTGCGCGTGAGCTTTTGACTGGCAAAGGAATAAGATGTCGTCCACGTATGGTACTACTCGGATGCCTTGCTCCCGCCAGCGACGGGCTAGCTGCTTGATGAGTTGCGTGAAGATGAATGGGGCTGTCGCAAGACCGAACGGCAATGAACGAAAGGAGTAAGTGCGCCCATCGAATCCAAAACCGAGAAACTTCCAGCATGAAGGATGGATATCGATGTGATGGTACCCGGATTTGAGATCAATAGAAAACATCCAATCCCCAGCGCGTGCCACGTCTGCCACACGGCTGAGTCCTTCGTACTTGAATTTTGGGACGATGAGGTTCGTGTTGACTTTTCTCAGGTCGAGGATGAGCCTGCATTTTTCTTTCTGCTCGACCACGTTAAGTGGGCTTATGCACGTAAGCTCGCTTGCGGCTGTCTCGACTGCAGCTCCGGTCTCTGTGAGTTCTTGGATGGCAGTACGTGTGAACGACGCATGCGCGTATGCACCAGCGTGGTTACGCTCCCGAAAGGCCTGTGGTGGGCCGTGGCTCCATGGAAGCCAGTAACCGTTGGCGATGATGGATAGGACGAGGCTGCAAGGGCACCATGAGCTCCACCACGCAAAGGTCGAGCGAAGCCGACCGCACATCCGTGTGACGGTTTTGTCCGTGACGGCGAATTCGTACGGGCCATCGTCGCGAGGCACCTCGTATTGTTGTGCTCCTGTATGTACGGCAAGGAAATGAACGCGAACAATCAGGTTGCACGCCTTAATTAGTTCATGCGTGTGACATATACATGCATGCGCGAAAAATGAACCGTCAACAGTGAGGACCATACGGACGGTTTGTCGTCATTCCATATAGGGCGTCCGATCGCACCTTGGCAAACTCTTTCTCATACTCTCTCCTTTTCCCTCCCCTCGTTTTTTTTTTTTTTTTTTTTCTGGAGGATTGATGCTTGGGACCATGATCATGCTTCCCTCGTGTGCTCTCTCTCTCTCTCTCTCTCTCTCTCTCTCTCTCTCTCTCTCTCTCTCTCTCGCTCTTTCTCTCTCCCTCTCTTTTTGGATGTGTTTCCATTGTTGTTTGAGCATTTGCATGCTTCGCTTGTCATGAGCTCGTGTCTTTTCGCGCGTGCCTTTACTTGGGCTAGGCGACATCGCTATGCCCTACTCCCCCCCCCTTGCTCCTTCTCACCCTTTTTGGGCTTCCAACGGTTGAACCAGGGCTGCTCATCCTTGCCATGCATGGTGGCGGTTTGAGTGAGGAGCGTACGTACTCTCTTTTTCTCCCTCTCCCCTTCTCCTCCTTTTTTTTTTTTTTTTTTTAATCCGTGACAAACAAGAGGGGCCTTTAATAAAATCCCTATCTCTCATGGTCATACATTGTCATGCCTACTAGCATGTTTCTCATCCCATCAATTGGGGCATACGGGGGACCGAGAGGCATTCTTCCTCTTCCCCAAAGCTAGACCTACGGCCATACTTTATTACCCTATCCTAGGGGACCGAGAGGCATTCTTCCTCTTCCCCAAAGCTAGGCCTATGGCCAACTTCTACCACCCTATCCTAGGGCTGGCCATGGCCACCGCAAGCCCTACTAGGCTGCCCACGGTCTAAGCACTCAAAAGTGCACCGTGCATCGCGCCTAGAGGCGCGCTTCACCATAGCCCGAACCTTACACAACCGGTGCGGGTCCTTGGCCCCCATGCCCATTCCGAGGGCAGGCATTGGCGACGTGGCCTGGCTGTCCGCAGCGGAAACACGAACCACGAAAGCCTTGGAAGTTGCCCGAGGTTGGAGGGCCACGTTTTGGGGCGAACGCCTTGGCGCCGTGGTTTCCACCACGGTGGGAGCGAGCGTGAGCGCCCGCCGCTCGGTCCATGGCAGCCACGTCCGCGACGGCTTGCTTGAACGGCCGCGAGGTGAGAAGGCTTTTCTCCAGGTACATCTTGTAGCGCTTGGCAACGCGGTCGTCGGATGCGTCTTCGACTTGAAACATGTCGAAGCGCGCGGAAATGTCGTCGAGGGCGGCGACGACCATTTCGAGTCCGCCCGCCGAGTCGCCGTGCTGCAGCTTGTGCTCTGCGTGTTTCAGGTAGGCCCGCATGTCCTCCAGAATCTCCGCTTTCGCCCGCACGTGCTCGTCGTTGAACGTCGCCGCCGACCAAGTGGTGTTAGTAGTAGAGGGGAGGGGGGGAAGATGCTCCATGGAATGAAAATTTGCGGTATGGACCGGAGCCTCACCATCATCGTCGTCGGAGCCGTCGGTGTCGTTGTCGGCCGCTGGCGCAGGTGGGATGCTGGCTGGTGCTTCCTTGTTGTGCCGGTTCGCCGTTGTTCCTCGCGCTCCTTTTTCTTTTTTTGCGTTTTCCTTGTTAGCAGATGCAGACGCCGCGGGTTGTGCAATTTCCGTAGCTGTAACGCTGGCGGGTTGTTGCTGTAACAGGGACAGAAGCGCAGCGACCTGGTCCGGAGTCAACGCGTTGGTCAACGCCGGGGTCGTCGCGTCAGAAGAAGTCGATGTTCGGCGCCTCTGGCGCTGACGCGACGGTCCAGCCACAGGCGCCGGCGTGTGCTCCGCGTCAGGCGCGTGTGGCACCCCAGGTGCTGCAGGTGCCGCCGTCGCCACTTGCGCCACACGCGCCTCAGGCGCCACAGGCGCCACAGGCGCCACAGGGGCCGAGGGGTGCTGCTGCTGGGGCGGGCTCGAGTTTTTGTTGACCTCGAGCCCGCCCAACAGCACGTCCACGGCAGTTGGGGCGGGCGATCCTTCCTCTGCCCGCCGCTTGTTACGGCGATCGCCCGTCATTTCTCGGGCGTTACGGTCGGAGTCGGAAACCGGCGCAGACGAATTGACGCGGTTAAGTGCCGGCGTAGACGCCATTGTAGATCGATTGTGGTTGAAAATGTCTTGCAGAAGTGTTGAGGGTGACTCGCCTCTGGGAAGGGTGCGAGTTCTAGCCAGCTTGGACGGGGAAAAGAACTACTCGAACGGAAATGTTGATTGAGCCGTTGGAAAACGAGAAACGTGGGTGGAGGGAATGAACTCCAACCCACGGTTTTTGTAGTTGGAGAAGGGCGTTTAGCGCGCTTCGACGCTGCCAAATATTCGGTACAGTCAGCTTCGCTTTCACAATACACAATTTTGAAAAACATCAATGTGTTTAAAAATTATAATGTTTGATGTCAGAACTTGCCATATTTCACCCTCGCAAACATTCATTCGGCGACTCGCTGCTAGAAGCACGACCTTAGGCCCGTTCACGGCTTTCTGCGATTCTCGCGTCGAATTATCTGGGCTATTTGTTTCTTAGGCGAAGAGCTTTTATCGGGAGGTCGTTGCTGCCGCGCGATCAATGTAGGGACAATGGCCAGTAGGTTCATTCCTACAGTTAGATCGCACGGACGGCGTAGATTAGTTCTGCCGCTGTGCGGTTCTTTGCCGCGAATCCCGCCTGGAACACCATTTCTCTGGACCGACGAGAACCTTAGGCTGTATAACGTCGCACGCTTTTCAAACGAGACAGACTCCCAGTTACGAGACACGCAACGCGTCCTTGCAGTCGATCCGGTTGAACTCATGCGCGAAGGACCGTTGGGAATTCATGATTTCAATCAGGCGAAACTACAGACACGTGTATTTTCATCAGCATCCGCTTCGCTGACATCACGGCCGACTGTGATGACCCGACAGCTGCTGCCTTCACTAGCATCACAACCAATAGTGACTCGACAGCTGTCGGCGTTGTCTCCACAACCGACATCGCCACTGGGCGGACCGTCATCGTTTGATGCAGCAGAAGCAGCGGAAGGAGAGCTGAGTGAGAATGATTTTCACCGGCTCGCAGACGAAGCCCTGCACTGGCTCCACGAGAACTTCGATGTATGCACCGAGATGTTCACACTCAGATGCTTCTGCTCTCACATTTAAATGCTGTCATTTGCATGAGCTCCTGAACATAACCCATTTAGTCGCTCTTTCCCTTCAATATCTGGGCTTTTAATGATTAGCCAGTTGACGATTGACATGAGCTCCGTCCCCATATCGTTTCAGGGTTTCGGTCATAGTTTTCCCTTGCTGCTGTCTGGCGGTTTTGCAGGTTCTAGGTGATGAGGTGGACATTGAAGGATTCGATGTTGACCTGTCAGTAAGTGTTTTCTGGCTTCCGGTAAGCTTGGAAGTCCCACTTACACAGTCTTTGGCCAGCAACCTGTCATTATCTCCGTTTGCATTTTCCTGTTTAGCAACCCCGGGAACCTGAAGTTCACATCATTTTGGGTCACTTCCCCAAGCAGTTATTGAGAAATACCCTGCACTGTTTCCTTCAAATGCTCCCTGCAATTCTTTTTATGCAGCAAGGAGTTTTGACGCTTCGTCTCGGACAACACGGGATCTTTGTGATCAACAAGCAAGCTCCAAACAGGCAAATTTGGCTTTCTTCCCCACAAAGGTATGCCTCTAGTAGCAATGTAGTATCCATCCTGATCAGTAGGCCATGCCACCACTGTCACAGGTTTTATCATGGGCTGCCTTGACTAAAGCTGTATGTTCTTCTTGTAGATTGTGCGCAGCACAACTTTTCCTCGTGTGCTTATTGGCTGAACGCGAAGATGGTTGTCCATGCTGAATATATTCGCAGACTTGCACGTATCACTTTTTTCTGTTTCAGCAGATACTCATGCTTCATCCACTGCTTGCCTCCTCCTGCTCTCCCCTGCAGTGGTCCAGCACGCTTTGACTGGTTACCAGGCCAGGGTTGGGTGTACCGCCGCACAGGAACAGAGCTCATGTCTCTCTTGCAGACGGAGTTACGCACATGCTTAGGCACTGGAGTTGTGCCGTCCCTGGCCCTACACCGTCCTATATAGCGTCCATGCATGCGTGGTATATTTCTTCTGGGGCAGTCACCCTATGATTCCAAATGATGTGGAGGATCAAATTCACCGAGAGAACTGCTTTTCAAGGTTTTGTGGGGGAGAGAAAGGTTGAGGGCACCCCTAGCTGAAGCTACAATTGCAGGCAGAACGCTGTGGAACCTTGTCCAAGGCTGTGAGTCTAGAGGAGCCAATGAATGTGTGGACAAGAATGGATATAAGCAACGGAAGGGCTTGTTAGTATGCGATGGAAACAATTGGCAGGAAGGGTCTTTCTGAAGATGGTTTGCTGGAGACTACACCCCCCCCTGCTCTCTGCATGTTGCTTACTTCCGGTTCTCTTCTGCACACCATTTCCACCCGTTCTCTGCCATTCCTGAGTCTGCTGTACCCTCTTGTCAAACTCCCTCCTCTGCTGTTCTGCGCTCCGTCTTTTTCCACCTCCTTCCGTCCCTTCCCCTTCGCCCAGCCCCCACTGCCCCCTTCCCTGCTTCGCCGTGCGAATCCCCTTCCCTTTCCCACTTTTCTCTCTCCAGCTTCCCTCCACACTCCCCCTCTCGCGCCGCTTTGTCCTTCCATCGCTTCCATCTGGGCCTCCATCCTTCCCTCCCTCCCTCTCCCTGTGTCTCCATCCCTTTCTTCCATTCCCCGTTCGTTATTTTTCTACTTGCCCTCTGACTCCCCTCTCCTGCCATTTCCCATCTGTCTTTCAGCATTCCCTTTCCCTGTCCCTTCCTTCTTCCCTGCACACCTTTTCCCCTATTTGTCCGTTTTTCCTAATCCTATTAATCCCTCCCCCGCTCCACCTCTTACTTATCTTCCTCATCTTACCCATCCCGCCCACCCTTCCCCTCGTCCTCTCTCCATCGCCCTCTATTCTTTTCCCCTATAACTGCCCCTTTTCCCTTCCACTACCACCCTTGTTTTCCCTCCTTTGGTCCTCCTCCCATCACTCGTCTCGTTTCACCCGCTTCTCCTCATCTCGTCCATTCTACTTTTGCACCCCTGTTTGCTTCTTCCTGCATTCACAGCCTCCCAAAATTTTCTAGGTAATTGCTCCTGAGGTGCCTCTCTCACCCCTCGCTTCCCTCTTTTTTGCCTGGCATCCCACTCCCCACTGGCTTTCCCTCTTAGCTTCCTCTCATTTCCCTCTAAGATTGGGAACCTGACAGCGTTTTAGATGAGGAGGGTTATATGCACACGACAGGTATTTACATGTGAAATAAGAAGGGTGTGGTTGATTGAAGACATTTAAGAATTACTTGGAACAGAGATGGGGGTCCGTAGGAGACAGTAAAGTGGGGAGGTGATGATACAGTACAGCTTATATCCACTAAGTGCTGGAGGGATTAGCAGATTGTCCAATGAAGTATCCATGTTAGTCTCCTAGCTAAGCGTAACAATTTCCCTATCTAGCAAGAACCCTAACCCAGGTAGATCCCCTCCCAACCATCATCCAGCAGATATTTCGTTTCCACCAAATCAGGTGGTACCAGGAAAAGGCTATTCGGCCACTAAGCTCAACTAGCAAACATAATACAGGATCAACAAATCATTATCTAGCTCTCTTTGCACAAGACGGGCATTTGTAGTCCTTGATGTGCTCTGCCTTGGCTGGTGTTATTTTCACACACTTCCCATGATACCTGCAGAAACACAACATCGTATTAGAATGGAAGCGCTTATTGTGAAGAATGTGACAGAAATGGAACGGAAACAAGATAAAACGCACCATTTATCACAATGGTCGCAACCAATCCAGAACTCGTTTGCCCCATAAAGCCCGCCGCAAATGCCACAAAGCGTTTCCCCATGCTCCTCCTCGTCGTCCTCCTCTTCCTCTGGAGTTTCTTGTTTCGCCTTCGATTGTTTTGTCTGCACCTCACCACTCCGCTGAAATTGTGAACACGAACCGTCAGCAGACAAGAAAGGTTAGGAACCCTAGAACAGCAGATTGAGGGGAAATGCCACTACACTGGGCAAAACTTACCGCCTTGCCAGAGCTCTTCGCCTTGTTCGACCCGCTGTTGTTGGCTGCTGCCTTTTCAACCGCTTGCTTCTTGCCCGTTACTATATCAAATAGTGTGGGCAAGTCATTGATAAGGTTAAACAACCGCTTCCTGCATCAGCACGACCAACATAATTTAGCAAAAAGCAAAAAAAAAAATGTAGATCTAGATTGAAGCAAAAGACATCGTACCGCTCATTTTTATCGAATCGAGCTCCGTAGTAAAATGCTACTGCGAGGAGCCATGCGTCGCTGTGCACTGCAACCAAGGCTAGCCAATCTTTCTTCTGCATTCCATCTCTTGCAAAATTTATTCCAAGAGCGGGCTCTGGTAGTTCCGGTGGCACTTCCTCTGCTGGTAGATTGACCTCCCAAGCCTCCTCCGGGTAACCATACAAACATAAATTCTCCTTTTCTGCGACAAGCGAAGCGACGAATAGCGACAGAACGATAAGAAAGAGGCGGAACTACCGAGCCATCTAAATGCAAATTATCGTCTTCAATTTTAAAAAATCGCCTCGGAAGACAAACCTGGATCACACTGTCGATAAAAATCTTCCACATCTGCACTCACACGCGGGACGACGAAATGGTGTTAACCTAGAAAAGCATATTTAAGGTTCGCAACGAGACGATAACAAAATCTGAAAAATATAGACTACGTCGTGCATACCGGTTGTCAAAGCCTTTAACATGCCCTTTCGCCGACCACTGAAGTCCTTAAAAACATCCTCTACGGTTTTTGGATTGGCCGCCATGGTCCCCCCCCCTTCCATCAACCAGTCCTACCGAAAAGGGGATCAGCCGAGGACAGCCAACTAGGGATATGCAGTTACAAAAGCACCCTAATTTAGAACCTCTATCCTTGTCGATAAGGATTGCCAGAGGGGCGCAGACATATCCCGTCCTTATACAAAACCTTCCAGGTAGAAATAACAAAGGAAAAGTATGAGATGCAGTTTTCACCCTGAACAGCTCTTCAATGAAAATGGAAGTACTGCGGACCCGCGTCTCGATTTGTGGAGGAAGGAGGTGTTGGGGAAGGACCCAACGACAATCCTCCGTCGCCCAATCACAAAAAGCGAAGACAGACGAACTCTTCTGCGAAATCATTTGTGTCACCGAATTTTGAAACGAAACATATCCTTTATGTTTTCATTCTTTTATCACATACGTTGACGAGTATACAGTAAAACTCTGGAAGCATTCTGGTCCAGCTAAAATAGCTTTAGAGAAGCACCAACGGATGGATCCCAACCACTGTGATCCAACGGCCATTTTCGAAAATGGTGAAGCTAGCGCTGCAAAGGTGGAGATGCTGATGTGGACGGATCAGAACTTCACCGGCTCGACGACAGACTAGACGGTGGCGGGTAACAAAGGGAATCACGAGCGTGGGAACATGTGGTCTGGCCGTCCACTCCGTCCCCTTATCGTTCGTCCCTCCCATTCTTTCTCACCCAACGCTCCCCGCAACAACTTCTCCAAATCCAGTTTGGTTGGTTTGGTTGGTCAAGAGATCAACTCAGGCAAATGGGTCAAACGGGAAATCATTATCAGAGCTGCATTATATTTCAGAACAGATGCGTTCTAGAAGTCCGTCAAATCATCCACCCGCATTCCACCCATTGTATTGTCCGCAGTTATCGCCTGCTCATGACTCCAGCCGTTTTCGGAAGCGGAAGAGTCCTTCTGGTGTAGTTTGATTTCGTATCCAGCCTTCCGTCGATCTATATCTTGGCATGGAAGGCGTGAAAGATGAGAGTGCAAAAACAATGCCAGATAGCGGAGAGTTGGATTCAGAGCAGCGGATAAACGAGCAGACTGACGGAACAGGGGTTTCAGGAGAGGATGATGCTGACATTGACCAGATTCTAGAAGAGCTGCTCCCAAGAGCTACATCCGCTCCTCCTCAGCTGGCAGAATTGCAGGTTGGCAAGTCGTTGAGAGCTGTCAATATGATATATTCGAATTTGCCATTGCAAGACTTCACACTTTCTTTGTTGTGCTGGTCAAAGGGAGAAGTGGTTCCTGACTAAGTAAGCGTTTTGCGGTTACGATCATCCTGACGCGTATCATTGAAATCTGCAGAAAGTTTATGGCATCGCTCCGGACACAGGAGCATTCGCTGGTAGCGAGGAGGGCGACGTTGCTGTCAAGCCTTTTGAAGGTACCTTTCGACGGTTACGTTTCTCAAGGATACGTCTCTGAAGGTTACGTCCCTGTTAACTGACTAACACACCTTGTGTCTGAGGTGTCGTGCTCATCAGTTTACGTTCTTTCCTGTAAGGTGCGAACACGTAGGATTACGTTGGCTCCGTCTAAAAGTCAGAATGCAGACACAATTGGTGACGTGGTGTTACGAACGAGGTTCTTCATTGGAGAGGATAGTGTGATTCTTCACGCTCCCATTACCTCTTTCCTCCTTTGTACTTGGTCGTCACACATCGTTTCCACTCCCCTGTCCCTGGCAGACATCCGAAGAGACGAAGACTATGAGGAGTTCTACAAGGTGTATTCCGGCGTGAAAAAGCTCCCTCCTCCCGTGGAAAGCCTCCAGCTGTACACGGATTCTCCCAAGTTCGCTGCAAGAGAAGGCGAGATGGGCGCCGACGGTGGTTTTTTCGGCGGTTTGGCACTAGACGACAGCAAGCTGAGGGAAAGTATGGAAGAGATGAGGAGACAGGACGCGGAGAGGGTGCAGAACGAGGGTGGGAAAGCCAATGGAGAGGCGATAGCTGGTAGCGGAGGCGATGGGACAGATGAGGAGGCCTTTCTAGAGGAGATGCAGCGGCAGGTGGCTCAGCAGCAGGCGCTGCAAGAACGGGAGCTGTCACGGAAAGCGCTGGCTGACAAGAGACCAGGTCAAGACGCCTCTGGAGCTAATGGTTTGGCAGCGGCTTTTCAGGGGCTTGGTGTAGGAGGATCCGCGAGAGACGCGAGTTCCAGTAACGGAGCTGCTGATAGCGGATCAGGACATGGCAAGGCAGGGTCCCAGCAGCACGTAAGCAGCCCTTCTGGAAGTCATGGCAGCAAGGGGAGTCCAGTCGTAGTAGGGACGGCTAATGTAGGCGGGTTCATGGGAGGGATGGGTGGCATGTCTGCTCTTGGTTCCTCAGCCACTGCAGGGATATCTTCTCTTACAGGTGCCGTTGGAGGCCCTGGTGGTATACCACCCGCTCTTGCTGCAGGTCTGCTGGGCGGAACGGTGGGTTTAGATCCTTTCACAACGGCTGCGCTGTTACAAGCGATGGGAGGAGCCTCGGGAGCGTCTGGTGCGAGCTTAGAGGAGCTCCTGGCAGCTGTGGGTGCAGGGGGAGGGGTAGGAGCCGCGGCAGGACTGGCAGGCGCTGGTCTCGCAGGAGCAGGTGCAGCAGCAGGTCTGCCTGTTGGAATGGGCTTGTCAGCTGCAGCCGCAGCCTTTGCTGCCCCCACCCAAAACAAAGACAAGGCAGGGGAGGCAGGGAAAGGCGCAGCAGCGGACGCCAGCGCGAATAAGGCAGGATCAAGCGCCGCTGGACCAGCAGCTTCCACCCCAGGAGCTCCTAGTGCTGCCACTGCTGCTGCAAGCTCCCCTTCTCTGGCTGGAGCCGCAGGAGGGGCACTGCCAGGACTTGGTTCCCCAGGGCTGGGAAGTCAGGGCGCCGGGATTCTGGGTCTGGACGCCCTTCTTGCTCAAGGCGGGGCGGGCCTTCTTCCAGGCATGCTGCCAGGCGCAGCAGGCATCGCCCCCTCCAATCTGCACCTGTATGAGCAGCTGCTGAGGGCCAGAGCAGGCGCGCCTGGCGTGGACTTGTATGGCGGAATGGGCGGCATGGCTGCAGCGGCTGCAGCAGCGGCAGGGGGTGCTGGGCCAAGAGGGGGATTTGGCATGGGTATGGGGCTTGACGGGTTTGGGCTTGGCGCACCCATGGATGCGTTTTCAGCAGCTGCTGCCCTGCAGGCTGCGAGGATGTTTCCTGGGGCGAACCCTGCGGATATGCTCTCTGCCATGGGTGGGCTTCAGCAGCCACAGCAAGTAGGGGCAGAGCAGGGGGAGAA